CAAGGGTACATTGTACTCCTGATCTCAATCCATGATATGGCACGCACGCACTGAAGCAACAATGTAATAATTTTGGGACGACCAGGTGTAACATTGTTATTGTCCTGGGTGATATGTACACATATGTACTTTGAAATAATATGCACGCATTGTTGACCATTGTATACGTACAATTCAAATGCATACATACATATTACACTTTTAAAAATTGTAATAGTTTGTTTTACCTACTTGCATTCATTTCCATTATTTTTAGACAAATTCTCCTCTCACGATTCAGAAATCATAACTCACCCACTTCAGAAGGGTTGTCAAGATAACGGAATTTATGAATTTCTTGCAAATTGATATTCATTTTTTTTTCTTAAAATTTCCTTATCGATATCTCCTTCTGGTCGGACGGAGGAGACCTTGTTTGATTAAAGGGAGGAAATTGGACCACATGTGAATCTCAGAATTTGTGTATGGTCAGGGTCCTTTGACTGTTTCCTTGGAGGATTTCTAGACAGGGTCATGTCAGTTCAAAAATTCTCCAAAATTTTTTTTGTAGATTTTAATGTTTGAGAATATGGACTATTTTTGCTGGGAGAACTTGGTTGTCAAGAAAAATAAAATATTCTATAAAACGTCATAAATGCATGCGAAAAATTTTTACGTACCGTTTTTGATACCGATCCTAGTTCAATTATTTTATAATTATTTTAATTTGCAATTAAATTAAATCGTTATCATTTTGCGACGGTTTATAGAATATTAAATTTTTATTGACAACCAAACTCTCCCAGCAAAAATAGCGCATATTCCCAAACTTTAAAATATGTAAAAAAAAATTTGGAGAATTTTTGAACTGACATGACCCTGTCTAGAAATCCTCCAAGGAAACAGTCAAAGGACCCTGTGTATGGTGGATATTGTATGGTCTGCTTCTCACTAAAATTTATTTGGTTGCTGTGATAATACATAAAAATAATTGGATGAAATGATTATTATGAAATATGGAATGGGTGCTTCTTCTTCTGCTTTTTCCGGTGCATGTTTTCCATTCCGGAGTCCGGATGTTGCTGACTTTCACGTCAGGTCGTCATATCATCGTCAGAGGAGGTGCATTTATTTATGTGTAGCTATATTTTGTGTATTTAAGGTAACTCATTTATCGGGGGATGGGTGAGGCATTGTGGGACGAGAGGATGTCATCATTTTCATGCCTCCATTGTTTGGACGTTTGACATCCGCCGGGGCTGACTTTTCTCGGATTTATTATTATTATGGCACACTTACTTGGGATGTGTACTTATCTAGTACATGAATATATGTGGGATAGTTGATGTGCTTTAATGCAAGGAGAGAAAGTGTGGGTCATATATCGAGAACGTAATTTTGTACACAGCTGGAGATATTTGGGACTGATTCGGTGAAATAAAGAGGAAGGATTGACTGGTCAGTTCAGTTGCATCATGAACAATTGACCCCTTTGTTGAGTAGAATGAATGCAGGGTGTGAAATGAAATGATTCGGAGGTGTGTGCCAGACAGATCAATTGAATGTGAAAATTGTCACATGTCCATTGTAACATTTTCTACCTAATGGGAATGACCAACTGCTAGACAAGGACAGTGTTCCATTGCAAGTTGATAGAATTAGTAGTGGGAAATACCTACTTATGCAACTTGACCTTCCTTAATTATATCGGTTTCCACTATTCAGTTTCACTCGGAAAATATGTCACATCGCTTTTCTTAAAGTTTCAATTTTTTAAGATCAATCAAAAAATCAGTGATAATTAAAAGCTCAAATATTGGCCACATATATTGTTTTTTTTGCTTGGCACACATGAGCAACATTTCATTCCCAACAAACCATATTTCTTTAGAGATCTTGCGTAAACAATATTTATTTTACCGTGCCAATCTCGATCTTGACCTTCTATCCGCACTTTCTCACTCTTCATTCACAAATATCAACTCTTCTTCGATAAATCACGCAATGCTAGTTACGTATATAGATACATTTACCTAATAAATAAGTAACGAAATGCCTGAGATTATAGAAGTTGGCACACTTAAATATCTCTCCACACATTCCTCAAACTAAATATTTCACTCAAAATCGTCATGAAACATTGAAAAAACAGATAATTATTGTTACTTCGTTACTTACATCCTATTCCATGATTGACTCTAAATGCATCCATTCTCTTGATGCAACATCATCACTTTTTTCATGTCTAAAATCAAACACCCACACAAAAGTATTAACCACATATCACGACATCCCGTCCCCATTTGCAGGGCCTGGCCGCTTAATGTCAATCAGTGAACCGTACTCTGATCTCATTATGGAAATGTTTCGCTCGTTATAAAACAATAAATTCATCCACATTTTTTTCTCTCTCTCTGCCGAAATTGATTATTAGCGACTGTCAATTTTCTTGCGGGGGCGATTTGGTATGGGTTGATGCCCGAATTTATAAATTCATATCGCTCCTCTGACCTTATATGTATGCATTGCATTTCGGACGGACCAGCAAATGTGTCAAGATTAACAAGCATTAAGCATTATTACCTCTCGCATCTGGATCTCCATTAACAATACTTTTGTTCATCGGAACATGGACCAGATCAGGAATAATGAAATCGTATTGTCACGTGGGGGCGGTGGACGCGGACGAAGGGAAACAATGGCATTTTGTCATTATCATTGTCACCGTTCCCAATTTTATTTCGGGGCAGATGCAACAATGGAATAATAACGCACGGTTTGAAATCAGAGATCACGACGGAAACATTTAAAAAAGGCGTTCACAATAATATTTCATTTTCATCGTGACTATAATTGCCACTATTTTTCGCCACCTGGAACGTCATTGTCTTATGTAAAAACTATGTACGGGTTCAGTTTATTAGTTATAAATTCACAGCCAATGTTGCAAAATTAATCGAAACGAATTTTCCCATTTTTGGGCCTTACTCCCAAAATTCGAAACAAATTATGATAAAGAACTCCCCAATTTAATTGAGTCGTCGAAACGATCTCTTAACCCTGTCACCCGCCGAGATTAATCGGTTTGGCGGATAGCTATCAAACTTTGTCAAATAAAAGGGAACAATCCATTTAATCAGATCACAATCCACTCTGTCTTCGTCGGGACAAGATTTGTACAAAAGATTCAAATTAATTGATCCTTCTCCTCCATTCTCTACTTGTTTCGAAGATATCTTATCGTCGGCATCTCCCTTTAATAAATAGAGCAGTTTATGTCCGTATTACCCGTCACAATTAAAATTCAATCAATTTGTTCTACCAAAAGTTGAAATGAAGTTGTCTTGAAATCTCTCGACTTTGACGAGAAAATCGAGACAGGGGCAATTTCTTTGTGTGTCAAAATCACAACCACTTGAAAGAAATTTCATCACGTAAAAAATAATCGCAGTCTTTTGCCCCCGCAAAAATTGAGACAAAACAGAATGATCCCGCATAAAAGCTCGTCATTAAACGGTTGGCCGCTTCCGTGTACTAGAAACATTTAGCAGAAGATGTGTTCCTTATTATTAATCTGTCTGTACCACACCTAATTAGCATTTCATCCTAATTATCCCTCCTAAATAATTCAGCACATAGTGCATCTTTAGGCTGAAGGCGTGATGTGATGATCACCATTATGATTCAATGACCTGATAAAATTGCAAGTGTGCAATCCATGAATCATTAATCTCATCCCTCACAATAAAATATGAAGGTATTCTTATTGCAATAAATTTTGCTGCCGGGCAGAATAACAAGAAATGTGAAGAAGTTAATAATTTCTTTTGCATGTTTCAACACAAAGGAAAATTATGGATATTAAATAAATCTTTGGAATTGAATAAGTACAAAAAAATATTGCTGGTAGTAGACGGCTTCCAATTTTCTACCTTATTTTTCTCCCAGGTAGGTGATGATGGGTTGGTTAGTTGTGATTTCTACAATTTCTTACCTACCTGGTTGGTTACCTGAACATATTTATGATTTATTGCCGAATGCAGGCTGAATTTTCGCAATAATATTATTAACAGCTTCCTTCCGGAGATGGGGCTACAATAATCCTGTCCGTCACACCCTCTCTCCCATTCCAAAGTCACGACTCTTTTCTCGTTAAGTCCGTAATTTATGGGGTTTAGTATTTCATCTCGCTCGGAGAAATTCATTTCGCAAAACGAGTTATTTTTTTGTTAGACAAAATCATGTCTTAACTTTTAATACGCACATTTTCTATGTGCCAAGAAGGTAAATTAGCTACGCAAAATTTGCCTGGTTCCGGTCGTAATAGTGAAATGAAATGTAGCAAATACATTTTTTCCTCATATTTCAATATTTCATCAACAACAACTTGGCAGAAAGTGGTTGACGACTTGGGTGTTCTTTCTTTCCGGTTGACATTTACTTTGCGTACGCATTATTCTGGGATATTTGCCAATATAAACAAATTTCGGTCGGCCCCTTTTTCTAGAAGTCGTCGTCACCATATTATCGAAATGTGTTTTTTACAGCAACACGAGAACAATGGGTATTGTTTCCTCGTAACATAAAAGATTTGCCGAATATGAGACGAGGACGAGACTCGCAAAATAAAATCTAAACTTTGGAAGAGTAAAATAAAGTGGGAGTGTTTTCCGATATTCGGCACCGCAACATTTATGTCCACCCAGTTCTTTTGTTTACACAACATCTTTCCTACTTCTCCTCCCACTCTTTTTCTATTCTTTTACTAAACGCGACCACATCGCCACCCCCGACACGTGGCCACGACACCACCACGACGTCTCTCAGAAATGTTTACATTTTCTCGTAAAAAAAGAGAGAAACCCATTTTTCATCCCAAACACAAACAAAGAGCTTTACTTATCCGTTCATTCATGTCTTTTCTCTTAACAAGATCAAGACTAATAATACATAAGTTCCCGGTTCGTGTTTTTTTATGAAAAAAATAATAATTGGATCCCATTTTTTATTGTACTTTTTAGTGGGTGGATCCGCCTCTGCAGAAAAGGATGAGGAATACGCGGAGGATGAAGACTACACGGAAGGTGACGACGACGACTCTCCGGACAGCTCGGCACCCAAAGGAATACCAAAAACGACCTCGGTCAACTCCAACTTGCAAGTCGATGAGGAAACAAAAGTCGAACTTCCTTGTCATGGGGAGCATTTAGGTATGTATAAATAGACATTTATATAATGTTTAAAATTCAGTTACTAATTAACCTTTCTGAATTTTAGAACAATTCGTCATCTTCTGGAAACGTGGGGACGATCTGCTCGCCTCGAACGCACTAACAACCACGGACGACAAACGGTTCAACATTTCCTGGCCGCCGGGTCGTCAAGGGGGCAAAGGCAATTCACTCGTAATTCATGACGTTTCCGGCAAGGACAACGGCGAATATCGGTGCACCCTCCAGCTCGGCAATAGCAACACGTCCTTCACCGTGACCCATACGCTCCTCGTGCGCGAAAAACCCCGCGTGTACACCAACCCCACGAAGGTGGTCAAGGAGAACGACTCGGCCACTTTGGTCTGCAACGCGTCCGCCAACCCGGAGCCGAAAGTGTACTGGAAACGAAAGGGAAAGAACTTGCCGACGGGGGAGAGCGTTTTTGAGGGGGCGCGGTACACGATTCCTTACTTGTCGCGAAATCACGCTGGGATGTACGAGTGCTACGCGACCAACGCGATGGGCACGGCTATGACGGCGATGAATTTGCATGTTATGCGTGAGTGGAGAATTTACGTATAATATTTTGCATATTTGTTCAGAATTATTTATTTTTAAGGAAATTTTACTCTTCAAAATTTGTACAACTTGAGGTTTAACTTTGCAATGTAAAGTTTCTGCAAGAATTTTGAATTTAAAATTCTTAAGCAGACAAGATGTTTTGGAACTATTTAAATTTTATAAAAATACATTTTGCAGACTTCTAATTAAAATTCTAATCAAAAACCAAATTTTAAAAATTCCAAAAATCAAATTTTACCTGCTTTAAGATCTAAATTTCCAACAAGGTTACAAAGGTATCGCAATTACGTATCAAAATTTTTTCTTAAACTATTCCCCACTTTTTCCAGACGCCCCCGTTGTCCAGATTGAACGCACCTCTGTCAACTCCGGCCTCGGAAGGAAGGCACAGCTCGTCTGCGTTGTTCTCGCCGAACCCAAGGCGAACGTGACCTGGTACAAGGACGGGGAGCGGATCACGCCACCCATTCGTGACCCCGAGTGGCCCGCCCACATTTGGAAATTACAACTGGACGCGGTCACAAAGTCGCATTATGGAAATTACGTCTGCGCCGCGTACAATAGTTACGGCAGAGACGAGAAAATCATTCAACTTTCCGGCGCCCCTAGTCAGCCGCTCCTCCGGGGTCACAAGTTGGGTGATGACCACACTTCTTACAGCCTCATTTGGGAGCTAGATTCGGCCAGCAAGGTGGACGGGTTTAAAATGAGGTGGCGAAAGGTGTGTACATAGTGATAAATTTTTTTCGCGTACAAAGTTGTGTAAAGTTTGTAAAAATATTTACAAAATCTGTGGCAACTTATGTAACAAATTTTAATCGATTTCAAAATTATGAACAATTTTCGTAGCCAATAATTTGTCAAATAATTTTGCAAGTTTACACACTTTACTGATCCTGAGTTTAAACATCCAATTGAATTGTTGTCATGGTAACATATTTCTCTTCTTATGCAGGTTGAGGATGGCGCAGAGTGGGTTGAAGTTGACATTGCGGACGGTGTCGCGTCCGAATCGGACAAGTACACCGTGACCCAGACGATACGCGAACTTGGCCCCTCGGCCGACTACGAGGTCACCCTCCTCGCCCATAACGAGCACGGTTGGTCCGTCCCAGCCGAAGTGCGCAGCTTCCACATCAACGGGGGTAAGTTTTGAGAAAAATACATATGTACATACATTTCAATTATGAATATGTATATCGTCAATTTTAATTCATGTCCATTGTTGTGCTATAAATAACTAAATACTTCTGTATGCGGAGTAATCCATGCCATGTCGTATTTATGACTAAATATTGTACAAACAATGATTCATGTATTTTATGTATGTACATAATTGTGACCATGTGACTAAAATTTTACTTGTCCCACCAACTTGACAGAATTTCAGTCAATCTCGGCTGAGGAAGCGAATGCCAAAGGTAGCGTTAAAACAAGAAGATGTCAAAATTAATTACATTATTGTAGAAAAAAATAATATGTACTTGTTTCAAATTCTTATTTGTTTAGCATGGAATGCAACCTTTTAACAATTTATTCAGTTAACGTTTTATTAATTTAATTGCAACCATTTGCCTGTTACATACTTTTAATTTTATACAAAATTTACCACCTAACTGACTTGACTTTTCCATGGTAAATACTTATAACACTTGACCTGACTAACTGCAATATTTGCAAGTATGTACATCGCTTAATATTATTTGTAGCATGATATTTACACATTAATTAATTGAATGGCATGTGATTATGTATGTTTGTAGCTACTTTTTTAAATTTGTCTGCCCGTTTGTTTCGTCGAATTTGTCTTGACTTCAAATTTTGTTTACAAAAATCTTACCAATTTCATAATCTCGTTTTTACTTTCCTCAGATGCCTCTGGCTCGACATGGACATCGTCGTCGTCTCACCTGGCCTTGATGGCTGCCTTAATTCTACCCATGGTCAGGTGGCAATAGTCTTCTACTAGAATTAATTACCCCCTTTTTGCCCCCCAACCAAATAAATATTCATCATCTTGTATCCGACTTCTCTCCCCTTTTCTTCATAGAGATGTATATGTACATATTTACGATACTTTTAACCAAAATATAGTCCACAACTTTCCCGATGGAATGGTTAGTCGCAACAAAATAAATTTTTAAACCGTTTTTAATTGACGAATTAATTTATTAATATGCTTTTTTTCTCATGTAGAGTTACCCAACTGAACAACCTCATCAACTTATCATTAACGATGATAAGTTATCTTCAGTCTGACCCAGCTTCCAAAAACTCTGCCGGTTTATTCATTAATGTATCAATTTTTTGAAATAGTCCTTTATTATTTAACAAAGTTTATTTAATTTTTGTAGAACCTACACAAATTTGAGGAGTTTAATAAACTAGGTGTAAAAGTATCGAGAGGTTACAAATGTATCATAAAATTAATAATTACTTAGATTGGTACTTTAAGCTTAGCGTATGTAATTAAGACAACAAATACGTAATTTAGTGATTAAGTAAATATCTGCATATGTTAATTATCCAATGTAAAGTAAAACAATACATACATTTCAAAAGTTTTTTTTAATTGATCATTTCTTAATTCCAAGAAAATCAAGGAATTTCCGGATCATTACTATCTAATTACTTAAATATACAAATTTATCAGTGTACATTATAGCTACTTATGCGAATATTTATAATTTCAGGTAAAATTTGAATTTATAAAAAATGCTATCAATTTGTAGGAATTTCAGGATTTGTGGTCATGTAAAGTATAGAAATTTTGTAGAATATCTTTTGTGATTTCAAGATTCTTTTTAGAAATTTACGTAACGAATCCTAACCAAAATTATCCAAAATTTAACAAAAATGTCAATTTGACTCAAACGCCTTCCCGACATGGCCTGCCTCTGCATAATTACATATTTGGATAAATCTACTTATCATGAATCAGCCATACTAGTAAAAGTCGACCTATGCCTCCATCAAATTAAGTATGTAATCATAAACCAGATTAATAATCTACTCTTCCCTACGTTTCAACGAAGAAAATTACTTTGATAAGTTAGTTCGCTAAATAAATAAGTAAATCTTGTTGCCAAGATCAGCGATGTATTTATGTAGGCCAGGTGAATTGTATATTACCATTAGTTACATAAATTTATGAATAACACAAAATGCAACAATTTGCTAATGATGCTTAACAAATAATACTATAAATATGATTAGTCAACGTCTGAATATTTTAGGATTTATATAAGTATATTAAATGACTACATTAAGTAAGTTAAATACGAGCAAGTGTAATTAATAGAGAGATAAACAAGATTAATTTTTTGTTAAAAAGACGAAGAAATTTAATTCTAAATTAATATTTGAAAGTCCAAGTTAACTTGATGTTTTAAGTGGAGACTTTATACAGGAGATCGATTTTTTGTTGTATGTAAAGTGAAAAAAGCTTGAATAAAAGAGACTTAAGTGATACGTACGTAATTTTTTTGAGTGACACAAATTTAGAAGGCACGTACTAACAAAGCAGATAGTAATTCGAAATTTTCATAAAGTTCCTAGTCCTTCTGGTAAATTGATATAGATATTTCTTTCGCATGAACAATACTTAATGTGGTCATTCATACATATATATGGCATGTAATTAACGACCCCCCTAATGTTTAGGTTTTTGCCCCCTAAATTGCGGAAATGAACCCTCATTGATTTTTGCCCCCACGTAATTCTTTTTTTACCCCCTAAATATCAAACGAATCCCCCTAATAAAATGACCGGATAAATACAGACAATCAAGTGCAATTACATATATTTAGATCGGACTTGTCAAGAATACTCAAAATAATTTAAATATTAATCAATGAAAAGGCTTTGGAGCACTTTGGTGGGCCCCTGCTTCCCTGCTTTCTCTGAGTATGTGCCCGTTTTTTGAATTGAAACATGGTACTGTTCATCAGTTATCATCCACAATGACTGAGGTGTTATTCAATAATATCATATACCATTTGAGTCGAATGTTGAATTTATTGCTAAAAACCCAATAAAACCTTTGGGTTGTTATTTTTATTTAAAACCCTAGATCACACCTATGAAGATTACAATGGTCACAAAAGGTCACGTGATGGTTAAATTACATAGAGGTGAATCAATCGGGACCTTCATTTTAACCTCAAAAGTCACGCAAGGAAACCAAATGTAACATGAAGGTTGACGTACGGTCAATAAGGGAAATTTAACCCAGTAACCCCGAATTCAACGGTCACCACCATTTTGACCTCAAAGGTCATTTCGACGTATCACACACTTTTTATTCCTTGGTTGCAAGCGTTGTAACCATTTGATCAATATGTCGGTCGTAGATCACAACTGATGAACATTATTATGTTTCAATCAAAACAGGAAGGTACTCAGAGAAAGAAGGAAAGCAGGGAGCCCACCAAAGTGCTCCAAATCATTTTCATTGATTAATATTTAAATAATTTTAATCATACTTGATAAGTCCGATCTAAATATATGTAATTGCACTTGATTGTCTGTATTTATCCGGTCATTTTATTAGGGGGATTCGTTTGATATTTAGGGGGTAAAAAAAGAATTACGTGGGGGCAAAAATCAATGGGGGTTAATTTGCACAATTTAGGGGGCAAAATTCATAATGTTAGGGGGGTCGTTAATTTAATCCCCATATATATGTACATACATATGCATATATATGCACATGTTGCATGTGTATGCAGATTTTATCAAATAAGACGACATTTTTATTATCAACGTAGAATTTCTCCTTGTTTTCAGTTTATGATTTATTTTTCATTGAAAAAAGATTTACTAATTTGATGGTTTTGCAATAGCAATAATGAGTTTAAGTCCAACTAGGTAGTCTTTGCATATATAGATAGTTTTACATATAACCATACTTAACATATGTAAGCGCATGATAAGAGAAATAGAGGAACTTATTGATGGAAGAACTTTTCATGAAAATTATTAACAAATGGAACAACAAAGTGGAACAATACAGGATTAAAAACCAAAAATTAAATTGCTTCTCCAAAATATAAAATTATTTGATTTTTGTTACATTATTATTTTATTAGCATAGTTGCTTATTCAATGATATCAATTATTACAGAATACAATGTCTCGCGATTGCTATCTCCAATTTCCTTCCCCGCTAGAAGAGTTAGACACTCTTCCTCTGCTAAATCCACCCCTTGACGGTCTACCATCTGCACCCTCTCCACCCCTCGCTCCACGACCACGACCACAATAATTGCCTCCACGAGAGAAAGATGATGCATTAAAATCCGAACTTCCCCCTCGGTAACCCCCTCGTCCCCGTGTAGCCTCCCTGTTGAGCCGACGCTTCTCTTCATCCTCCATATTTTTATCCCACACAGATTGAACCAAAATTACCAATTTTCCTCGAAATCCTTCCTCCCTACGACTCAGACCTTCAACTGAATTTAAAATCTCAAGGATTTCAGAATACTCCAGTTTCACGTGTTTCCAACCATACCGGTTTATGAAGTAAGGCAATTTCTACAACAATATTATTATTATTTAGATTGAATTGCTACATTGAAAGTTATGCAAAAATCACACCTCCAATCCGAATTTTACGGATTCCTCGTAATATTCTAGTGCTTCTGTGAAAGATTGAAGGACTAATGTCGCCTCATCTTCCATCATTATTTGAAGGAAGGCCTTCTGCATTAACAGCGTAGCCATTTTATCACTCCCCCAACGGCTCCCATCTTCTCCGGACAATTCCTTTTGGATCGTTTCCACAATGAAGTCTTTATTCTTGGCTGGATTCGCCATGCAGGTTTGAAGAAGGAGCATGATTGCTGGAAAATTTCTTTTATCTGCCGACAGCGCCTTTTCAAAATATTTCTGTGCTTCTTCTGCATTTTTCTCCTGAACAAATCAAATTATATTTATACTTTGAAATTTAAGACATAATTATCAAATTATTTAACACTTGCATATGTACATAAGTACCTCAGTCAAGTAGTGAACTCCCATCCTGGTGTTGGCCTTACTGGAATTAGGATGGTACACAAGTGATCGCTCGATACATTCCTTAGCGAAGCCGACATCCCTTAAATATGGGGGAAGTAAAACGACGGAAAATATTTCGGCGATTGTGATATTTACTTTGGTCGAGATGGGATCTAACACCAATGCAGCCCTGCATGCAAAAAGTTCATATTAAATTTTTGCATTTTAAATTTATCTAAACATTTAATATTTTATTAGCTTGCCTGCACTCGTCCTTCAAATGCGAAACTACCTCCTTGGCAGTTTCATAGTCGTACCCATCCCCAAAATTAAACGGTCCCTTGCCCCTCGTAGCTCTCACTTTTGCAGCAAAACAAGCACATTTTGCCACTACCACGGCAGGATTTTTATTCTCCGATAGTTTCACGGCATGCAGAATGCATCGAGTTTCTCGATCGGACGGTGGATCATCTCGAACGCCGGAAGTACGACGTTTATACTTGAGAATGTAGTGCAGCTCAAGATGCCAGAGGTACTGGTCGGGGTCAAGCTGGGTCATCTGAGAGTGAAACGGTTTAGTTTTAGTTAATTATGGACAATCGTTGAGAAATTCACTCGGATATTTGCAACCCAATCTCGTAACCCTTACAACGATTATAAACCAAAATATCTTACAAATCGGCAACATTTGCAAAATAAATTTGCAAATACATTTTAAAAAAACACTTATATTTCTATGTTACTGCTAGGTTACAAATATCCGAGCGAATTACATACATACGTCAACATAAATATTTATACCTCTTCCAAAACGCTTATCTGCACATCGTACGCACTCCGATCCACATCCCCCATAAAAGTTTGCTTGACACAATAAACCGCCGCTTTTCCCTTTTTCGACAACTTATCAAACCCATACTTCTTATCTAACCCATCCTCCATCCATTTTCTAAACTCGGGATTAATGTCGCCCGAGTCTTTTCCAGTCTTAATCTCTCTCAAGGCGACGAAGGCTTTCAACAGTCTCAAAATATAGATGAAACCGGTATGATATTCAGTGTCGATGTAACCTTCTTCCAGCAAATATTGGTCAACCTTATCCTCCAAGTCGTACACGAGTTGGTTAACGTTTTCCTTTTGCAATTCTACAGCGACAAAGGTGAGAGTGCAAGAATCTGCCAATATTTCGACGGCATTATGTCTCACTTCTTTTGCCGTGTCGGCCTTTCGTTCAGTTTCAAAGTCGTCAAGTTTTGTCGAGATGGTGGAGTAGATTGGCAAGTAGGTGGACTCTGTGGGGAGTTTATTGCCAAGGAGAGATACCCATTTTGGAAAGAATTCGGAATTTTGTATCTTTTTCCTGCATAAAGCCACCAAATCGTCGTCCTCGTCATTGTCATTCTGGGACAAGTTGAGGTTTGCAAATCCTTCAATCACCGACTTTTTATACGACATTCTGAAAGTGACATGTAGGAATTATTAGTTTTTTTTTAGTAAATTTACGTATTGCGACCAAAATATAAATACCTTCTTGGTAAGCAATGAGTTTTACTTGTTGAATGAATTAATAATGAGTGAATGGACAGAATGTGCTTTTCATTCAGCTGGAATTTGGCATTGCAACGTTTCGTGGCATTATTATTATGAATCGTTCCACTATGCGAAGGCGAAACTCGGGATTCGCAATTTGCGAATTGCATGGAGAGTGGAGAGTGAAACCCGTTATCTGCACTTTTTGCACTCATTTGTTTTGTAACCTTCCAATGTGTTGCCAATATTTGTGTGGTTTAATAATTGGCCAATAACGTTTTTGATAGAATTGAAACGTTAGGATGCATATTATGTATGTATGTATACTCTTGGATGTGCTGGAAATGCACCATAAGCTGTTCCTATCATATCATAATATCATATGTACATTGTACATATGCAAAATATGTGTGTATAAGCACTATCTGTAAAAGAAGGTTCAGAATAATTAAATCCATGGTGGTGATAATCGCATGCTCCTATTTTTACTCAGGATCGATGAAATCTTGTTGAATGATTGAGTAGGAATATTCATATTCGTCAGTACGAGGCTCGTACTGACTTGTATAAACCTGATAAACTTATTTAGCCCCAATGAACTCACCTATGATATGTACATACAATATGTACAAATTAGATAGGATCGAACTGGAAGGTATCATTTTACTTGTCGCGTTTCCATTGTGCATATGTAAGTAAAGGCAAAGTTAATGATTTTGAAACTTTATATTCACAGAATCGCACATGCATTAGTGACTTCATTTAGTTCATGCATTTAAATAATTACGGAATGTAAGGATCAATAAATTTATGTGGATTACTATTTAAAACTTTATTCCATCTTTAATAATTGTGTTCAAGTTCTAAATATTAAAATTATCGGTGCCACATGTATGACTACCTTATTCAAGCAGCAACAAGTTAATTAAGCGATCCACACAAAACTGCCAAATGACGAAGGTTGTCAATTCATCGAAATATTTACCATCACCCATCCCCACCTTTAAGGGGGCACATGATCGTAGAAATTTTCTGAACCAGGTATCCCTTCCAATCTGATTAGAAATTCTTCTCGCATTCTTCACAAACTTGACCGACGCGACATGCGAATAACTCAAAGAATGGAACATGAACTGAATAACTGCAAAGAAATCTATCACCATGAGCAGGAAAAACAGGGCAACGTTGGCCGATAATTTTGACCAAGATGAGATGATTATGTAGAGAGACGAAATCTGCCCCTCGATCGAAAAGGCGAGAAACATGGCAAGGAATGGCTTCGACATGACGCAATTTACCAAGTTTTGTGCTACTTGGGCCACCCTGTATTGTTTCAGATGTTCTTCGTAATTGAATTTCAGTGACCCTTGGGAGGTTTGAAGTTTCCTAAAATATACAGAAATTTTGAGAATGGCTTTATCAAATTTAATTATCAGGCAGGCAATTCCTCATTCTGTTTTTGACCGAATAGATAATTGTAAAAATTCGAAAATTAATTTACAACCTTTTACAAAGTTATATTAGGTATGTTCTTGGACTGCCTGAGTTTATTATAGATTGCAAATATTTGCATACTTGTGTAAATGTATCCGATTTGTGCAATTTTACTTTTACAAACACCCGACTAATTGTAAAGCAGAGGCTAGAATATTATTGTAAACCTGTTAATTACGCCAATCCACAGCTCGATCATCACCGAAGGGTAGATAATGATCCTATCCAAAGTTATTACGATGACAGAGGAATACACGTAAAACACGTAAAATTGGAGTAGCCCATTGACACTTCTTATCACAAGGCTTCCCTCTTCGACATCATCCCAGTCTTTGGAACAGCTAAGGAATAAAGCCCCCGCGATTGAGGGCGGTGTACAGGGTCGAAAAAATCCTAACAAGCCCAAGATAAGTGGAGCTAGAGGTAAAGAATACCGTGTGGTGGCAATCCCAAAGAGGATTTTTGGCGAGACGTAATTTGATGCACCTAAGAAATGTTTAAAAAGTATTGAAAATTTCGTCAATTTTTAAACTTGTGTATTTTTAATATAATTTTATAAAAACGTATTTAAACAAATACGTAGTTTCATGGGTTGAAAATGTTTACATGAAGTTGGTCTTTAAGAAATTGTACACAATTTGAAAAATGTAAAAATTTAATTGAAATAAATATGTATTAACCTCTCTCAATGCACTCCTCCTCCATCCAGGTTGTCGCTATCAGTAGTAAATTTAGCTCTTGTCTTCGAAAATAAAGCACAATTTGATCCACAAATATTTCAATGTATGACGAAAAGAAATGAAAAGACATCACTTTTCCCCAAATTGGAATTGGAGTCGACTTATTATCCCGTAAAATATTACTATAAAACCAAGCTGAAAATACGATTGTGTAAAAGAAGAGGACAAATTGGGCAAAAAAGTGACTTAATTTCTCTCTTCTCGTGCTTATCACTTTGGTCAATTTTAGCAAACTTGTGTCATTTTTTACCACTATGGGAATACCGTACGATAGTGAAGTCCACTTTGTGACCCATGTCATAATTGGGAAGTATGACTTGGGAACTTTGAACAAGGAAAATTTCTTCATTTTCTCTTAATTTAATAAAAACTTGTGGAAATAGTATGTTATTCGGAAATAGTGCTGGCTACAGACCGATGACTGGAATTGAAAGAAATTTTTAGTTATAAAGTCCTTGACGAGGCGGACATACATACACATATTCATTAGTAACTGCAAAAGTGATAATTAAGAAATTGTAGGTTTTAAGACAGCTACACATTTTGAAAATTGTTGTCCAGTCCTTCAATTATTTAAGACGAGTGTTTATTATCCGACGTATACATATTTACTTACAGGTAAATGGCATGTAAACGAAGTGAGACTTTGCTTGAGAACCCGACAACAGTGAATTTTAATTCACCTTTAAAAGAATTAATTACCCACTTGTGTAAATTCAGCTATGACTTCAGTCATTCTTCAGACAATTGCAATAAGCAATTAGTTACACATTCCTAAACTATAATTAAGTTGATAACATTCAGGTGTAAACATGTGCATAAATGCATTCTAAAAAGACCATATATTTGTACATACATATGTATGTACATGCGACTCTATTATCAATCATTTGTTCCCTAATTTTGGTTGCAATTAGAAGAATCCGCAAAATTTAGACACATATAAAGGTCCATAAGATACATATACATTTTCCCATTGTTACTTATCACATGCTTTCCGAACTGATACAGCGGGTCAAAATTATTGCAAAGGAAGAAGGCCAAAAAATAAAGGGACAAACCCCAACCGCAATTACGGCTAAACTCAACGATATACCAAATATGGAGAAGTTTTTGGGTAAATTTCCACTCAGAAGTTCTGAGTCAGAACTATAAAGTTATAATAAATTTAAAATATACCCCTTTGCCCGTTTGTTGAATTCAAATTCAAACACTTACTGTCCCTCATCAGCTTGTATAAAATTACAAATATCGGAACCATCGAATCTCCCATGAGTAGGATTGCAATTTCACAGACAAATGCCAATCCACTCGTGTATATCTGTAAACATGTAAGAATTTCCAAGACGACAAATCTGTTTAACGGAATGGCTACAATTCCTTGCAAGTTGCAAGTTGCAACTGTGCTGATACAATTAATACTCAACTCAAATAGCGCAGGGAAGGAAGACATCAGATTTGTAATACCAATGCGGCGTTTTCTTTTCAAAAGGTTGAAAAACAATATTAGGATATGATAGTGGTACAATTTAAATTGTGCAGATAAATGCACGATAATTGTGAAGAAAAAACAAGTACAACTTGATCAAAATAGAATTTATGCAGCAATGGTTACAAATATGTACGCTAAGCAAATTACAAATTTGGATTACTATTGATCGGTTTTTGAAAATTTACGAAGGACTCCCAGAAATAACTTGCAGACATGGATATGTACCGTAAAAACTCAAATAGTAGCCCTTGCTCAAATAGTAGCCCTGCCTTTTTTCATAATTTTATAAATAGTGACCTTGCTCAAATAGTAGCCTTATTCGAATTATATTTAGACGTTCGTCAATTTCCAATGTACATACCTAGGTACATACAACCAGACATCTCCTAGCCAGCTCATTTAAGTAATTAAATCACAATTCCATTTAATCTCAGTGATACAAATCGAATTGAACACGAAATTCGGCTCATCGGAGAAATTATTAAAATCAAGAGCTAGCCTTACCTATAGAATTGTCATCTAATACGAGTCTAAGGGAGAATTTGGTGCTGTTATTAAAATTTAATTGGAGTTTAATTCTGGAAACAAAATTACAATAGCTGTTTGCTAATAGTAGCCGTGCATCTTTTCATAATTTTATAAATAGTGACCGTGCCCAAATAGTAGCCTTGCTCAAATAGTAACCGGGTCCTAGCCACCGATTTTTTAAATAGTAGCCCCCGGCTACTATTTGAGTTTTTATGGTATTTTAATGCAAGCTATGCACCTACATATGTACACACACATATGTATTTTCCTGCCTGCATACATACGTAAATATTTATGTACTTTACCCATACGACCAGCTCATATCGGAAGGATCAGAAATTGATAAAATTGCAATATTATATTTGTCCAACCAGTCTATCCATTGTATAAATTTAAATATATAAATTGGAACGATTTAGGCAATTATAATGCGAAGGAAGGAATACTACGTCAACGAGCGACGATTAGTTTATGTAGATTGGATCGTCACAGTTAAATATACATTAAAATCACGCTACTTATCTAAAAATCTGTATGACTTAATACATGTTGCAAAGTTGCTTATAAAGGGTGTTAATAAAGTCCGATCCCATGAATTTTTTGGAGCGCGGTTGTTACAAATTCAGCTGGAACTTTTGAACCAGTGAAGTTATTTATTTCAAATTTTTACCATGGGAGGAACAACTAAACGTGTAAGTCATGAGCATCTTAGAGTTAAGATACAAACATTGCATCAGCAGGGGTTTAAACCTGCAGAAATTGTGCAAAAATTGGGCTGCAGCCGCAGAACTGTTTGGAAATGGAAGAACAAAAATTTTGTCCACGACAAAAAGCGACCCGGGCGACCCAGAAAGGTGTCACCTACCACAAAGAGAATGATTAAAAACAGACTTTACAAGAAAACCGGTAGTTCATTACGTAATTGTGCAAGGGAGTTAAATGACTCAAAACGCTATAAAGAGAAGAAGAAGCAAATTAACTATGTGACCGTGCAAAAATTTGTGAAATCTACGAGGTGGGGTCACACAGCTTACAAACTAACCAAAAAACCTCTCATGTCACAAAAAAATATCGATGACCGTCTGAAATTTGGAGAACTCCTTCAGAAAAGTGGCCATTTGAGTGAAAAAAGACTTGGTGAAGAATTGCGCAGTCACATCCTTTGGACTGACGAATCTATTATTGAGCTATATCCAAAATTGAACCAACAAAATGTTCGTTACAGGACAGAAAACAAATCGGATGTACCATCAAGAGCAGTCCCAAAATTCGGGCTTAAAGTTATGGTAGCGGGTGGATTTTGTGCACGTGGCGTGACTCCTCTACATATCATACCAAAAGGCCAAACAGTCAATGCAAAGTATTATATGGAAAAAATATTACCTATCTATTTCGATAGCATGGGGAACAAGGAAATATTTCCGAATGAAAGAAAAATAGTTTTCATGCAGGATGGTGCTATAGCCCATACAGCAAAAGCGAGTTTGAGTCTCATCAAGACGCAAGTTTCAACGGTCTGGAGCAAGGGGGTGTGGCCCGGAAACAGCCCAGATTTGAATCCCCTGGAGAACCTGTGGTCCATACTTAAGGAAAATGTATACAAAGAACCACAACCCCGGACGAGGGAAGAGCTAGTAAAAAAAGTTCAAGATGTATGGAATTCGATTCCCACAGACACATTGGAAAAATTAGCACAGAGCCTTAAACAAAGAGTTGAGGGCATGGTTAAAGTAAATGGTAACAAGACCAAATACTAAGGTAAATATGTCGAACATTTTTTGTAAGTATCACGGGTAGTTTTTTTTATACTAGCCTTCACTTTTTTATAGGAAAAATGGGATCGGACTTTATTAACACCCTTTAGATAAAAGTAACCAATGACCAAAATTAATAAATTGTTGCACATGTACATATGTATATATGCACAAATACATATACGCATATATGTATGTATACATATATTGTACGTTTATGTATCTCTAATTCCTTATTTCAGAAGAATTTAAGGCCGTGAAGATTTAAATATGTACATATGTATCGGTATTATACTGAAAAGCTTAATAAATCGACGCGAAAATATTTTAGTAAAATCGTTTTGCTTAAAAATATTAATTACGTTACAAATTAATGTAATCCACAGTACAATTTGCTTAACCCTTTATCTATAAAGTAATCCTGGACAGTAAGGGTCCGTTCTAGCATTTTTGGAGATATGGTACTAAATAAATTGTCTTACAGTTCCTATAATGTGCACCAGCGTAGATTGTGGCCTGATGGAAGAACAAGTTTTTTAATCAACTAATTGACGTAATTAATCACTTTCGCAACTATGCATGCACTGACCAGTTTGCCATCTTACCTATTCACCATCCACCTCCTTTGTCTCAATTAATCCAGTTTTTAATGTGGAAGTAAATTCCAGCAAGTTTTTAGCATGGAATAAATATATTATTCATATATGTACACGAAATATTGGAAGATAATTAATGCGGATCAGACGAGAAAGAGCAGACAATGACAATTTAGTACATCATTCTTTGTTCCATTATGCCATCGCTGTTAATATTTATTACCGTCAGACAAAACCTCCCATTAGCGTCACATTTATTTTGTTTACTACGGCGAAAAGATCTCTCAATCACGGCTCAATCTGTGTAAACTTTGAAATGGTTAACCGACATTTTACTGTATTAGTATTATTAATAATTAGCGTTTACACCACCACCCAAATTTCTGCTGGTACATAGTAAAATTATAATACTAAAATTCTAAATTGGCCTCATTTTAAAATTTTTCTCCATATTGATAGGAAACCAAATACGAAGAAACTGCAACGGATGGGGAAGATGTCTTCCAACCAGACAAACAATTAACTGGACTCCTGGTCGCGCCGATTATTCCATCCAACGCAGAAATTGCCCTTCCTACTGTCGTGGATATGGCGTGTGTGACAGAGACGGAGTATGTCGTCACGTGACCCAGGGAACGCCACAGACTACTGGATGGGGTCCATCACTTACACGCCAAGTACCAATTCAGCGTCGCCAAGAAACCGTAATTTTAACCCCAACTTGGCCTGCACAACAAATTAAGGCTTCCCCCCTCATTTCCTACGGTCCCCCAACTACACATCACTCACTCCCCTTAATTTCAAGGGCACAAGTCTTAAGAAAATCTCCCCCAATCAACCCTCCACCAAAACATTTGAAACAAAAGGAAGCTACTCCTCCCCCTAAGGAAACACAATATTGGGAAGATTTAAGCAACTGCGGTCTCCCCGAGTACGACTGCATTCCACGCATTAGTGACCGAGACGACGTGAACTGTGCCCACTGTGAGGACGTCCTACACGGAAAATGCCACTCTTTAGGGGTTTGTTTTGTTAAGGGGGATCCAAAATCGTCCCCACCCCCGCCAGAAGACATCCAGACCCCCAAACCGTACTGGGAAGACCTTACCAACTGCCTCCTTCCCGAGTATGACTGCGTTCCTCGAGCAAATGAAAACGACGCTGATAACTGTGCCCATTGTGAGACCGTTTTACACGGAAAATGCAACTCTGTCGGGATTTGTTTCGTTAAGAAGGGTCAACCACCACCCCCACCAAAAAATGACCTGACCCCACCTCCACCTCCGCCTCCATCTTCAAATTATTGGGAAGATTTGAGCAACTGTGCCCTCCCAGAGTTTGAATGTATCCCGAAGAAGGAAGGGTTCGAAATTGACTGTGCCAGGTGTGAGATTAGTCTTGAAGGAAAATGTCATCCGTTAGGAATTTGCGTGGTGAAAAAGGTGGCAAAGAATTACTGGGAGGATTTGACCAACTGTGGTCTCCCGGAGTATGACTGCGTTCCAAGAACGAGTCAGGATGATGAGGACAATTGCCAAAATTGTGAAAATGTGAGAGGCGGTAGATGTCACGCGGTGGGGGTTTGTGTTGTTAAAAAGGCGTGATTTTGTTCCTAGTTTGTATTTTATTCGGTTAAATTTAAATCGAAATTTGCAGGGAAATTCCAGTGCGACATTTAAATAGGGTTCTACATATGTATTTTCTGTAATAGAATAAATTACTCAAAGTTTAAACTATGTATTCTAGCAATTATGTGACATTGTTTCTTAAAACTGTGTACATATACATGGACAGAAATGGACAGTATTTACTACGTATTGTACAGACATATTTTAAATTTAGGGTTAAATTTTTACAAGTATACAATTTATAATTTGTTAACATTATGTCATTAAATAAATGATTTTACACTAGACTTCCATAAAGCAGCAAATTAATTAGTCTATCAACACAAAATTGCCACACGGTTAAAGATGTCCGCTTATCCCAATACTTACCACCACCCATCCCAACCTTAAGTGGTGGGAATGACCGTAAATATTTGCGTAATAAGAAACAATCCTTCCTCCCAATTTTTTGCAACTTCAATATTTTTCCTCCATTTTTGAGGAACTCTATCGACGCAGTATTCGGTAAACTGAGGGAATGCAGCATGATGTGGATGACGACGAAGAAATCGAGACTTAACAGGAGGAAGAGGAGGATAGCTTCGACGGGTAAGTGAGCCCAGGAAGATATAATTATATAAAGGGCGGAAACTTCGCCAACCATCGTGAAGGTTAAGAAAATTGAAAGATATGGCATTGCAAGGACAGCGGACACTAAATTTACGGTGAGTTGAGCTATACGGTACTGCTGGAGTAGAGCTATCGTGTGGTCAAGACCTGCAGATGGGTTGTGTCGTCTAATTTTCCTGGAAATAGTTGGCAAATTAGTAATTTCAATACCCCCGAGGAAAACAAAATGTTTGCAACCCAGTAAACCATACAAGTTTGCATTTTCATTTTATAAATTTTCACAGACTATTGCGTCTATTCATAAAAAAATTTCATTAGATTATCAAACTGATGACCTATGCATAAACTTTAAACTTCGTTAATTCATGTAAATTTTTGCAAGTTTACATTCTATATTATAATTATAGCAATAAATACATGTTGAACCAGTCATACAAAGTCACGTTTGCTCACCTTTCCAAAATATTGATCCACAATTCAATCATTGCTGAAGGATAAATAATTATCCGACTTATCGTAACCATTATGATTGCGCATATAACGCAAAGCACGGAAAATTGAATAAGTCCACTAACACCACGTTCAAGCCAGGTAGCCGTCTGATCTTCTGACCCATTTTCGCAATGAGGCAACGCAATACTGCCGATTGATGGAGGACTACATGGTCTGATGACGGCCAGAAAACAAACCAGTACTGGAAGTGCAAACATGGATATTTCTGCCAGCCCCAAACTGAACCAGACTTTAAACTTCACATAAGTTGAAGGAGCTGTACACGATTAAAAGTGTTAAAAATGTGGTTGCATATGCACAATCTAAAGGTTGATTTATACTTCATTCCTTGGTAACTTGCGCCATAGTTAAATTATTGGCGCGAGTTACCAACATATTCACCAAACTGCTTACTTTGGTCGGATAGTACGTATTTTTCAATCCAGTTAGTCGTATCGAATAGTAAATTTAGCTCGTGTCGTCGATAGTGCAAAAATACTTGGCAACATGAAATGCTTAATTGAGCAGATAAGAAAAAGAAACTCGACGCTTTCATCCAAGATGATGTTCCAAAAATAGAATCATGAGTTTTCAAAATATTTGTAAAGAACCAAAAGGAATAGAGCACCGTGGAGACTAAGAGTAAGGAAAAGGATAAAAGACGTAGAATTCTTGCAAATTTGTTTAATTTGTGATAGTTTTCACTCATGGGAATTGCAAATGTTACATTGCTCCAGCGCGCAAGCGAAGTCATTAAGGGGATGTAGGATGTAGGAATGCGACAATGGGAAAACAAGGGTTTGATCATTGTTTGAAAATTCTCCCAAATTTTCAAACAATTCTTCCGAATTTTCAGAAAACTAGAAAATGTATGCATACTGTGTATCTTTTTACAAAAAAGTTTCAACGAGAAATACATCTCAAAAAACGCAGTAATTAAATAATACAAATATTTCACTCTTCCTTATGGAAATTTTAAAAATAACCTACATAGATATGATATACTGATTGTTTTGTGTGAGAAATAAGTTGCTTTAATCTAAGGAAGATGGTCAGAATGACGTATAGAACTTAAATAAGTGACTCCTTGATAATGATTTGATGACCTAGTTGTCACAGATGACTAATTGCAAGGCGTGACCTCAACATTTGTTTACCCTAATATGTACAACGACTTCAGGAAAACTACAAAAGAGCAAATATTAATTAACTCTTACATAAACAAATTGTTTTACCAATGAAAGAAAGTATTTATACAAGGTGGTTTAAATGTTAGGTTACAATGGAAAATTTGTCAATGGGAAAAATTCGCAAATCTCCATTAGTTACCGAAATTTTGCCTCTGAAATTCAATATTTTAAGAATTTTGTCATCAGTTTTGATAAAAATTAATAAAAATCTCAATCCCAAATCCGTAACTAATGGAAATTTACGAATTTTTCTCATTGAAAAATTTTCCATTGTAACCTGACATTTAAACCACCCTGCGTTATAAGCGACAATGCATGTTGCCAACGGAAGTGAAGGTAAATTTGTCGGTCCCAAAATTTCGTCCGTGAAGGAAGTGGAAGTACGGAAAGTTTCCAATGGCGCGAAAATTCGAAATAAATTAAATTCAAAACATTAAGCTGGAGAATAGGAATGGACATGGGTATTTTTCTTATGGTGGTTATTGGTGGTTATCTTTGGGTAGTTATAGGGTAATCTAGGAATGGCTGCCTGCTGGTGGTTACCCAAAGGTTATCGGAGAGTGGTTGTCTGATGGCAATAATCAAGGAAGCTGAGGTAAGGGTCAGTGCTGAGGCAAGGGCAGGGCCAAAATTGCCGTTGGATTCAGGGACATTTCAACCCCCCACACTTAATTTTATCACAGCTCATACCCTACACAATTTCGAAAACGTTCTCTTCGAATTATGAAAATTTATACGATGGATGCTCTGTCAGGTGCCTTCCATTCTGAGACTAATTATGTTCTCAATTTTGTTTCGATCTGATAAAACCTGCCACATCAAGTTTCATTAAATAATGCAAATAGTTATCATTCGTTGCATAGCGATTAACAAGTTGTGCTCTATTTAATGTGTCCGAGGTCAAGTTGTCCGCGCATTGACTACCGCAGAATGTAATTATGCAGGTGGTGACCAGCTAAAACAGGTTAAATCCTTCCCTGAACTGAATAAATATATTATGTATGTATGTATGCAATGCATGTGTCAGATTGATTGCATGTCGAAAAAGTCGTGACGGCTAATGAGGATGTTTAACAAAGGTAGCCAACGACTTTCGCTTGCTTACTTATTTCAATGGAATAGCTCCAGAAACAGCATTTCGATTCCTCTATTTCATGATATGTATGTACATATAAATATTTTACAAAACCATTAAGTAAATAATTTTATACTACAGTTCCATAAGAAGCAAATTAATCAGTCTGTCCACACAAAATTGCCACACGGTTAAAGATGTCTGCCTATCCCAATACTTACCACCACCCATCCCAACCTTAAGTTGTGGCAATGACCGCAAATATTTGCGTAACAAAGAACAATCTTTCTTCAACATTTTTTGCAACTTCAAAATTTTTCCTCCATTCTCGAGAAACTTTATGGACGCATTATTCGGCAAACTGAGGGAATGCAGCATGACGTGAATTATTACAAAGAAATCGACACTCATCAGGAGAAAGAGGAGAATAGCATCGACGGATAAGTGAGTCCAGGAGGATGTGATGATGTAAAGGGCAGATATTTCGCCTATCATCACAAAGGTTAAGAAAATTGAAAGATATGGTATTGCAAGTACAGCAGACACCAGATTTACGGTGAGGTGAGCTATCCGGTACTGCTGAAGTAGAGTTATTGTGACATGTAGACCGGAAGCTCGGGTATGTCGTCTAATTTTCCTGGAAATAAATGGCAATTAACCAATTTGAACACCCAAAAGCAAAGAAAGTTTGCATATTATTTTTACAAATTTTCACAAACTATGCCATCTATTCATAAACAATTAGTTACATTAGATTAGCATACTGATTATGCGCAAATTTTAAACTCGATAATTCGTGTCAATTTTTGCAAGTTTACATTCTATTGGAATTATGGCAATACATTTTGAATCAATCACATAAAATCTCCTTTGCTCACCTTTCCAAAATTTTTATCCACAATTCAATCATTGCTGAAGGGTAAATAATTACCCGACTTATCGTAACCATTATGATTTCGCATATAACGAAAAGCACGCAAAATTGAAAAAGTCCATTAACACCGCGTTCAAGCCAGGTAGCCGTCTGATGTTCCGTCCCATTTTCGCAATGTACCAATCCAATACTGGCGATTGATGGGGGACTACATGGTTTGATGGCAACCAGAATACAACCCAGTACAGGAAGTGCAAACATGGTTATTTTTCCCAGCACCAAACTGAACCAGACTTTCAACTTGACATACGTAGAAGGAACTGTACATGATTAAAATTGGGTTAAAATTGTTAAATTACAATGGTTATATTTGCATAATCAAATGTGGGATTATAAGTACTTGGTAAAATGTGCCATAGTTAAACTACAACCATAGATCGATATTTTGCGTACTCCGGCCTCCACGTACTCCGTAGTCCGGCCAGCCACGCGTACTCCGTACTCCAAAAAAAGTCGCGTACTCCGGCCTCCGGAGGCCGGAGTACGTCATTGGCCTGAGTTACCAAGAAGTGAAATATAAACACACCTTAATCTACAAGTAATTATGCATATGTTGTAAATTCCAACATGGCGGATGCATTATTTTTATTAAAATACTTCTCATATAGATAATTTTTCGTCAAGAATATTCACGATTGCTTTGCAACAGTGTAAACTTTGTAAAAAGATTGGCCTGATTTAACAAATTTAAATGAGTGAGTAAAGTAAAAGGTATATTTTGAAAGCTAGGAAATTTGTAAATTAGGTAGATTTAATTAGTAAGAAATTTACAAAGTTTAAAAGCAGCTGTGCATGACATTCGGCTGCAATTTCTTTTTCTTAATTGCTGTAAAATATTTATGCTACATAGAATGAAAGATATTTAAAAATCATGCATGTATACTTATATGTACTTATATACGTACGTACACACTCTTTAGATAATTCACCAAACTGCTTACCTTTATCGGATAATGCATATTTTTCAATCCAGTTGGTAGTATCGAAGAGTAAATTTAGCTCGTGTCGTCGATAGTGCAAAAATACTTGGCAACATGAAATGCTTACGTGAGCAGATAAAAACAAGAAACTCGACACTTTCTTCCATGATGCTATAACAAAGTTGGAATCATAAATTATCAAAATATTTATAACGAACCAAAAGGAATAGAGCAGCATGGAGACCAACATTAGAGAACAGGATAAAAAATGTAGAATTTTTGCAAATTTTTGAAACTTATGATTATTTTCACTCATGGTAATTGCAAATGTCACATTGGACAAGTGTGCAATCGAAGCCATTATGGCGATGTATGATGCAGGGATGTGACAACGTGAGATTAACTGTTTAATCATTTTCAGACAATTCTCCCAAATTTTCAGAAAATTAGAAAATATATGCCTACTGTATAACTTTTTGAAATAAAGTTTCAACGGGAAGTGCATCTCAAAAAACGCTCTAATTAAAACAAATACATATTGCACTTTTTACGTAAACTTTAAAAATAAGCTAAGATTGTTTTGTGTGAGTAATAAGTTGATTTAATCTAAGATTGTCAGAATGATGTATAAAACTTAAATAACTCCAAGTGGACGTCGCTTCATAATTTAATGACCTAATTATCACAGGTGACTAATTGCAAGGGCGTGACCCCAATATTTGTCTAACATAATGCAACGGCTTCTACCGAAAAACAAATACTAATTAACTCTTATATAAATTGTTTACCAAACAATTGTCCGTGACGGACGTAAAAGTATGGAAAGTCAAATTTTAGAATGGCACGAAAATTCAAAACAAATAAATAAAATTCAAAATATTAAATTGGAGAATAGGTATGAACATGGGTATTTTTCT